TCAACAGTACAACACATTATCAGATTGTCACAGGCTTTATCAAGAGAAGTTGGACAACAATATACAATTGTCACTTTTGATTTGGCTGTAGCCAAGAAGGCCTATACAATTGTCTGGCAGAACCCAGTGCTTTGCAGTGATGTTCTAGTAAGATTAGGCGTATTACACACACTATGTTCATATCTTGGTGCTCTTGGTCAACACCTTCGGTGCAGTGGCTTTGAAGACATTATGGTTGAAGCAGACATTTGTGCAAGTGGGTCAATTGCAAAGGAGATGTCAGGCAAGCATTATAACAGATCCATGTGTGTTCATAAAATAATGCTTGAAGCATTTGAACGTTTGCTTCTAAGAGCATATAAAGAAACTGAGGGTAGAATACTAAACAAGGAAGCTAATTTGATTACTCTAGCTCAAGCTCCAAACCATGAATCACTGTCAGAAGTTATGGCCAGTGACACCTGTTTGACGATGATTTCACAATATGAAACATTCAAAGATAAAATTCGCAGAGGAGAGCTTGGAAAAACAGCTCAATATTGAATCACTTATATGAATAACGTATGACTCATCCTACGATTTATCAGAGCAACAAAGGAGAACAACTTTGATCTTCATTGTAATTGTCTCCAGGAGCTCATTCCAATGTATTTGAGCTATAATCATGTAAATTATACCCGATATGCTACAGTATATTTGATTATACTCCTTAATTTGGACAAGTCACATCCTGGTGCTGAAGAACTTCTAAGGCAGAATGGATTTAGCGTGAATAGTCAGATGTTCCATCCTCCAGGAATGCAGTAGACATTACTATAGAACAGATCATTAACCGGCATGCTAAATCACATGGAGGAATTGTAGGTTTCAGTCGGAATTATTCAGCTTATTATAGATGGTGTATGACAAGGCATACAGAGCAGCGTATGTTCAGGCCACAATGGAAATAGCTGAGATGGATAGCCCTGAGAGCACATCACACAAGGATGTTAGAACGTCAGAAATACTTCACAGTGAAGAAGCTGTTAGTAAGGTCATTGATGCGATTGACAATTTCATCAACCCCTTTGAAGTTGACAATAAAAATGTTCTTTACTGTCTTTCCTCGGGTGCACCAGCACCGACTGATGTAGAACGGGACCCCCTTTCAGCTTCAAGTCTTGGAAAAACAGCATATAATTCCTTTGTTGAAGAGCGAATGGTCAATAAAACAAAGCAATTCAATGACCCCAATAAAGAAGTTGAAATTGAAGACATTTGCGTCACTTGCCAAAACTGTGACAGTGAAAGGAACAAAACAAAAACAAAACAGATCACAGCAGAAAGAAATGTTCTTGGCCAAGTTGCATTGCTTGCAACTAGACATAACATCAACCCAGGAAAGGCACTTAGCTATCCAATAGGACCTGAACCAGGGTCTCTTGCCACATCTGATGGGTCTCCAGCAAAGACAGACAAGTCAAAACTAATGCACTGCCTTGAGGAGAATGTAGCCTTAACAGAACGACCAAATCAAAGTATTACAGATTATGTCATTGATGGAAATGCACTTTTCCAATCCCAAACATGTCTACCAAGCACGTTTGGAGACTTAGCGGAACATTGTTCTCCCAGCTTCCAAAGGTACAACGTGTGGATTTTGTAACCGACACATATTTCTCTATGTCCATAAAAGATGCAGAGAGAACCTGAAGAGGTGTATCAAAATCATACATGATCAAAGGTGCCCGTACAAAAATACCACGAGACTGGAAGACATTCTTGTCAAATGCAGAAAACAAGCGACAATTGATTAAACTGCTTCTAGAAGAATGGAAGAAGGACAAATATGCAAATAGGTTACTGGGAAGAAAAGTACTGTTTGTGTGTGAGAAAATGTGCATATCTTTGTCGACTAACAGATGGACTGACTACTGAAGTAGCAGAGGTGGAAGAGTTGCACTCAACACAAGAAGAAGCTGATAGTCGAATAGTCTTGCACTGCCTTCACATTGCCTCAAGTTCACCAGATATAACAATTGTTGTAAGATCCCCTGATACGTGA